GGTGACAGGTTTCCTCGGGTTGCTTCTGCTCCTGGGGGGATCCCTGCCTTTTATTTCCTTGTTTTGTTTGGATGTCACCAACTCTTCAGCAGTGTGTTGGGGGTTGGGGAGAGGGTGAGGGTAGGTTCAGTGTGTTTCTCCAGGAATCTGGAAGTTAGCTGAGAGTGAGGGAGGGAACATCCTGAGTCATATTGGCAAGTTAGCCAGATGGACCCAGGGGCTCCTGTTTGCCTGGTACCTGGGCCTATTCAGCACTGCCCATGACACTGTGGCACCAGGTGCCAACAAGGCCACCACCCACCAGCCCTCCAGGTGTGCCCAAAATGGCATGAGTTGGACTCTCCAGCTTTACCCCTTGGGATGGTCCCATTTCTCAACCTAACTGTGCTGGTTCCCCACCCATGAAATGAGTTTACATGAAACCCAATGTGCAGAGCTGTAATTAGGATAAAATCAGGTAACATATGTGAAGGGACTTCTTTACGTTCAAGGGACCAAGCTCCTAGCTTACCACCACCATAATATTTAAATGGGGAAAAGTAGGCCTAAAAAAGGGATAACCTATGCCAAGCATATGGATGAATTTCATTTATGTGTAATAAAATTACACCTTGATTGACCAGATTACAGGGAGTGCCAAGCCCCGACTCTTCAACATGAAGGAGACCTCGTGCCACCCAGCACCCTACCCTCCCTACGCTGGAGTGGCAAGGGCTGCAGGTGAGGGGCTTTAGGGCAGTGGCAGCTGCAGAGTCATATTGCCAGGCCTGGCTACTGTATCCCGGGCCAGCAATGGCCCTTCCTCTTGACTCTGGTCCAAGATGCACAGCCAGCAGAGGACAAGGCAGTGTCCCAGTAAACCCTGGCCACCCCTCCGAATAAAGCAAGGAGGCTCCACCACACCATCTGTCCCAGTAGCCTCTCAGTTTCTCTTCCCACAGCTCCCCATCCTGCCCCTGAATGGGAGCATATAAGGAAAGAATAAATGAAGAGTTTTCTGGTTCCATTTGTCTGTACATGGGAATTTCAGAGTGCTACACTAACTCCCATAGACATTGGTCACATTCTCTTCACACCAACTTTGCCCCATGTACATGCAATGTGCTAGTAAGACCATGAGGAGCAGGAGCGAATGCAGTTCACTCTCTCCTGGGGTTCCCAATCTAGTGTGAGAGACCAGACATAAAAGGTATAAGATACGTTCCCGCAGGAGAGCTCCTGAAATTACACGTTCACTGAGTACCTGAAAGGCCTGCAGTAGCCCCCATGTCACAGAAGCTAATCTTATGGCACCAACAAAGTGAAGATAGGAGCCTAATGCCATCAAAGTGGTGGCTTCTTTTCTATGTTAATGGCATTTAATGTAAACAAATTTAAAGATTTTTTTTTTTAGTTGTTTTGTTCATGACTGCCTAATTTGTTGATCTTTGGCTTAAGTGTTCATGCCATTAGGGTGAGAAAATAAACTCCTGCTGAGGCCAATAATTCATTCACTCATCTATTATCCCACACATTTTTTTTAAATGCAGCCTTATGAAATGACTGACTGTGCAAGTCAAAACAGGCAAACACTTGGCTCACATCTGTAATCCCCGAACTTTGGGAGGCCAACAGGGGAGCATCAGGAGGTCAGGAGATTGAGACCAGCTTGGCCAACATGGTGAAACCCCAGCTCTATTAAAATATAAAAAATTAGCTGGGTGTGGTAGCACATGTGGTAGTCCTGGCTACTTGGGAGGCTGAGGCAGGGGAATTGCTTGAACCGGGGAGAGAGAGGTTGCAGTGAGCCGAGATTATGCCACCACACTCCAGCCTGGGCCACAGAGCAAGACTCTGTCTCGATAACCAGCAAACAAAAACAGCTACACACTAACAACTCCATGTGGTTCAGCAAACTGAGAACTAGTGCCAGGCACTGTGCTGAGTGCGGGGACTCCCAATCCAGCAGACAGCCCTCCTCTCACAACACTTAGATGCTAAAAGGAGAGACAGAAAATCCCCAAATAAACAAATAAAGGCAAACTAGCATTTTAAAGTGTGATAAGAACTATATAGAAGGAACAGAACAGAGGCCTCAGAGGCAATGCCACACATCTACAACCATCTCATCTTTGACAAACCTCACAAAAATAAGCAATGGGGAAAGAATTCCCTGTTTAATAAATGATGTTGGGAAAACTGGCTAGCCACATGCAGAAAGCAGAAACTGGACCCCTTCCTGACACCTTACACTAAAATTAACTCCAGATGGATTAAAGACTTAAACATAAAACCTAATACCTAAAACCCTAGAAGAAAATCTAGGCAAATCCATCCAGGACATAGACATAGGCAAGGACTTCATGACTAAAACACCAAAAGCATTGGCAACAAAAGCCAAAATAAACAAATTCGATCTAATTAAACTCCAGAGCTTCTGCACAGCAAAAGAAACAATCATTAGAGTGAACTGGGAACCAACAGAATGGGAAATAATTTTTGCAATCTACCCATCTCACAAAGGGCTGACATCCACAATCTACAAAGAACTAAAACAGATGTACAAGAAAAAAACAAACAAACCCATTCAAAAGTGGGCAAAGGACATGAACAGACACTTCAAAAGAAGACATATATGAGGCCAACAAACATATGAAAAAATACTTATCATCACTGGTCATTAGAGAAATGCAAATTAAAACCACATTGACATACCATCTCATGCCAGTTAGAATGGTGATCATTAAAAAAGTCTGCGGTGTGGTATTACTGGAGGGGCAGCAGGGGTTGAGGAGTTGAGGAGGGATAACATGGAGAGAAATGCCAGATATAGGTGATTGGGAGGAAGGCAGCAAACCACATTGCCATATATGTACCTACGCAACAATCCTCCATGTTCCTCACGTGTACCCCAAAACCTAAAACGCAATAGAATATATATATAATAAAAATCTGAAGACAACAGACGTTGGAGAGGATATGGAGAAGTAGGAACATTTTTACACTGTTGGTGGGAGTGTAAATTAGTTCAACCATTGTGGAAGACAGTGTGGTGATTCCTCAAGGACCTAGAAATAGAAATTCCATTTGACCCAGCAATCCCATTACTGGATATATATCCAATGGATTATAAATTGTTCTATTATAAAGACACATGCACACCTATGTTCATTGCGGCACTGTTTACAGTAGCAAGGACTTGGAACCAACCCAAATGCCCATTGATGATAGACTGGACAGGGAAAATGTGGCACATGTACACCATGGAATACTATGCAGCCATAAAAAGCAATGAGTTCATGTTCTTTGTAGGGACATGGATGAACCTGGGAACCATCATTCTCAGCAAACTGACACAAGAACAGAAAATCAAACACCACATGTACTCAGTCATGGGCAGGTGTTGAACAATGAGAACACATGGACACGGGGGGGAGCATCACACACTGGGGTCTGTTGGGGGTGACTAGGGGAGGGACAGAGGGGGTGTCGGGAGTTGGGAAGGGATAACGTGGGAAGAAATGGCAGATATAGGTGATGGGGATGGAGGCAGCAAACCACATTGCCATGTATGTATCTATGCAACAATCCTGCATGTTCTACACATGTACGCCAGAACCTAAAGTGCAATATATATATATATATATGAACTATATAGAAAAGGGGATCAGGGATTGTGACCACTAAGAAGGGAGGTGTGGGCAGGGGGACGGGGAAGTTCTCTGGACGACATAATGACATTTCAGCTGAGACCATAATGACGACACATCATCAGCCATGTGAGTATCTGTATGACGTCAAAATGGCCAGGATAGAGAATCCCAGTCTGCAAGCCCCAGTCCAGTCAGCCCAGGCTCCCAGTCCCATCAGGTCAGCAAAATGAGGTCAAAGCTTTCACACCTACCCATACTTTGACAAAGGAAACTAACTCAGGAGGCCTCAAAGGCTTCATCAGCAGTTTTTATTTGTTTGTTTTGTTTTTCCCTTCAAACACACCAGGTCTCATTCTAGCATAATAGCATAATATGAACAGCTTCATTATTTCATTCACTAAATTATGCTATATTAAAATTTTAATCGGCAAACATAACATTGGTAAAACGAGTACATCCATACACTGCTGTTGCCAGTGTAAACTGTCAAACCATTTTTTTGCAAAAGAAATATTGCAACACAAAGAAAAATCCATAAAGAGGCTCATATTCTTGGCCTCCCAACTCTCCCCCCAGGGAATTTATCCTAAGGAAATAATCTCGTTCGATAGAATAAAATGTTCTCTCTAGAAGAACTCCATGGAGGTGTTAATTGTTACATACACAAAGGAAAGAAAAAACAAAAGCACCTGGAATTATCCAAATGACTGCAAATGGGAGGTTTTAACAAAATAGGATAATTCATTTGATGAAATATCATACCACCATTAAGCATCATAACAAAGATTACAAAGTTCCCAAGCGAAATGGCATATCCACTTTTTGAGAGAAGCAGAAGACAATGTGCATATTTTAATGGAAAGCATGTAAACAGTATCTCAAGGTGAACAAGAACAAGAAAATTGAAAAGAATTGCATCAAGGCCAGTGGGGTGAGGAATTATTTATTTCAAATGTCCTTCCAAACTATTGTCAGTGTACTGAGTTTTCATTAAAAAAAAAAAAAATCTCTCAGAAACAATAGTATGAGAACACTGCAATAGCATGCCACACAAACACAAGGACATTTGCTCATTCTAACTTTAAATACAAAATAAAGCCAAATTTGAAGATGCCTTCTGTGTTACAGATTCCACAGCCTTTCACGTATGGCTCCTGCATGTGAGACTCAATTTTGAATAGCAATGCAATGCTGCATGATTTTACAATAGTATCTCCTGTTTGGAGAGTTTGTCTTGAGAGAGGGAGGGCGGAGTGACTAGAAATTAATCTCCTCTTTTACTAAAGGTGGGGGAGGATCAGCAGATGAGGAAAAGGGCTTTAAGGCCGGACTCCCATGGCAGTAGAGGCGTAGGCTGGGAGTACTCACCTTTCACAATCAGCTCCGCGTAGTTGGACACACCAGACCCACCGTCAGAGCGGATCACACAGCGGTACTTGCTGACACTCCGCTGGGCAGTGTCTGCCACACTGACCGTGGCTGAAAAGCGCCTATGGTTGACCACACGGGTGACCATCAGGGCCGTGTCCCTGCCATTCCATTGCTGCAGAACAGAGGAAGAGAGGAAGAGGAGGAATCATAGCATCACAGGCTTCCAAGTGACTCCCAGCACGAATGTCCACCCATCCTTACACCCCTGCGGCTCAGGACTTTCAACTGTCAAGAAGGGATTTCCAGCCAGGCACAGTGGCTCACGCCTGTAATCCCGGTGCTTTGCAAGGGCTGAGGCAGGGGGATCACTTCAGGCCAGGAGTTTGAGACCAGCCTGGGCAGCAAGCAAGACCCTGCCTCTATGCAAAATTTTTAAAAATCGTCAGGCATGGTGGCACTCACCTTCAGTCAGATGATTATCACCTTCAGATAGCCTGGAGGGTGAGGGGGAAGGATCGCCTGAGCCCAAGAACTCAAGGTAGCAGCGAGCCATGATCAAGCCACTGCACTACAACCTGGGTGACAGAGCAAGACCCTGTCTCTAAAAAAGAAAAGAAAAAGAAAAGGCAAGAGTTTTCACAGCTAGTTTATGCCAAGGATCCGATTCGAGAATAAGCTTTGCTAGTGAGCTGATTCGAGGGCAGAGGCCTGCCTGGTGGTAAGAAGAGAGGGAAAAGGCTTCTTCTAAACACCTTGGCTCAGCCTGCATTTGGGGCTGGCATGGAGCCCCTTAACCTTCCTTCCAATTTTCCTTTTTCCCTTAAGCAGAACCCATAGCATTCTTTCAGACAAACTTCAGCAGACTTAGTAAAAACCCAGCCCAAATGGAATCCAGAGATCCCAGCTCCCAGGCCTATGGCTGGTACCCTACCACCCTACTCCACAGGCTCTGAGCCCCATCTGCCTTAAGCTATCACCACAAGTAGGGAGAGGATGGGGCCTTTTCAACACATCTCTTCTTTGGCACACGCTCTTTCCTGTGCCTGGAAGGTCCAGTCTCCCTGGGGACGCCCTCTCTCCATAAAAACCCGCGTTCAGTTCACAGCCATCTCTGGTCAGTTCTCACGACTGTCACCCCACCTTTGGAAGCTTACCCAGCCCTCACGCATGGTGCAAACTTTCCACATATGTTTTCCTACAAGTGCTGCCCACTTTACACTGAAGCCAGGACCTGCCTCTGTTCATCTTTAGAAGCTTGTCTGAAAGCCCCCCAAATTGGCAGACATTTCCAGAATCAAGGTGAATACACATAGGCTTTTGTATTCAGCACCCTGAGCTTTACGTGAGATATCCTGAGTCTGAATAAACCTCTTTCACAGTTTCATGTTATGAGGACTGGTAAGGCACAGGCACGTTGATGTTTGAGTGGATGTTTATTAAGGTTCTTAACTAGATGGGTATCTAGTGTACGCCAGCCGCTGAGCTGCCTATTTGTGTATAAATCTTCACTGTGTCTTCACAGCCTTGTTTGGGTTGTATATGACTGCAGCTCTTCTCAGAAGAAAAATCCAAACGTCCAACAGTTTAACTAAATGTGTAGAGTACCTGAGTCCATTATCCAGGTTTTCCAATTTCAAGTCAAGCACTCCTTTTACTAAGACCTTATTCTCAGTGCCTGCTTTAACTTAAAAATGATTTTCTCAAAAAAGTGAAATTGACTACTTTAATTATGTGGACTTAGGGAAACCTTATGACTTATGATTCTCATGCCCTGAGTCTCCCTGTCTCCCGAGATGCGATCTTCATCATTTCCTGTACCAGGTAGACAGCTTCTCCATGTGCAAAACCTACTTTCATCTACGTCATCTTCCCTTGCCCTCTAGAGTGACCTCTCAGGATGGGGGCACAGGTGCAGGTAGAGCCACACTGCTCAGCCCTATGGCAGCAAATGAGGGGAGGCCAATACCATGGGAAGGCAGTGATCACGAAGGCCAGAAACCCAGGGTAACCTAGACCCCCATCAAAGGGCAGCTAAGACAGACTTGCTCCGGGACAGACAGGAAAATTGTGAGTAATGTTTTGCTGCTTCTTTTTACTTTTTGGCATTCTTCAGACTTTCTGTCTCAAACATGTATTTCCTTTATACTTGAAAATAAAAAAATAAATGGTATTGTTAAAAAGCCACAGCAGAACTAGAGTTAGCCATAACTCCCTCCCATGCCAGAAACTAACTAAGAGGTGGAATAGTTAGTCCACATCAGAGCAACATACATGGGGCTCTAAGAGGAGAGAGAATCTGAAGCCAAACGCCAGCTCTGCAGCTTCCAAGGTGTGCAACCTGGGGCAGGTAATTTCACTTCTCTGAGATGAAAAGTTTCTATTTGCTTGCCCAAATAAAAACCAGTAGAAGCTAATGGAAGGGGAGAAAAGTCACCAGGGCTGAAATGGCCACCCACCTGCCTCATACCTTGAGGCATCTTTGCAGGTATAACTTGGGCCTCACTATGAGAACCTACAGGACACCACATGCAATGCCCATTCCCAAAGTGGTGCAGGGAAGGAGGAGGGAAAATTCCAGCAAATACCAGGAATGTGTCCTGATTTGGAAAACAGGCCACTAAATGAATGGGAGACCCTTCGAAGAAATGGGGTCATCAAAAGGAGCCCATCTTCCCCACTGCTGAGCAAGGTACTTCAGGGCCACCACGGCGGATAAGGATGAGTGAGTGGTGAGGCTTTGGGTCAATATTTTCTAACCTGAGTTGTTTATAACATCATAATCACTTTTCTTTATTAAGCTAGTAACAGCTAAACACTATTATGTGCTAAGTGTTTTAGATGCTTTCTCATTTGTTCCCCATGAGAAATAAGGTAGGCACACTTCTTAACCTCTCTCATATATAACAGGAAACTGAAGCTCAGAGAAGTGAAATCGCCTGCCCAAGGCTGCACAGCTCTGAAGCTGCAGAGCTGGCATCTGGCTTCAGATTCTGCTCTTACAACCCCATGTAGGCTGCTCCAATGTGAATTAACTACTCTCAGTCACTTACCTCTTAAAGCGTCCCAATGTCCCAGGGTGGGAGAGTGTGAGCACCAGGTATAATGCCAGCTATTTGCTACCAATTTATCAGCTGAGCGATAAAAGGGCCGAGAGATGGAGTAATGTTGCATAAGAAATGAGCAAAATGTGCATGCACACTCAAAGCCCATGTCCAACTTCTGAACAGCCAAGAAATCTGGGAGATTAAAAAGGAGAGACCGAGAGTGATGCCAACACATGGGCTCCACAGAACATGAGCTAAGAGGTGAGGCAACAAGGAAAAGTACCTAGGAGAGAAGACAAACCTCCCTGGAGGAGCCAAGGGGAGAACTGGGGCAAACAAACAATGCCATTGGCAGATGTCAACATGGCTCTAGAAGTAAAGAGCAGGATCAATGTTGCAGAAAACCAGCAACCTGGAGGACAGGCCTGAAAAAGTAACCCAGATGGCAAAGAAAGCAAAGATAAAATAAAGTGGAGAGAGTCAAACTGATCAAGAAAATGAGCAACAGACAACTAAGAACCCTGTAAGTAACTGGAGCTCCCACAGAAGAGAATGCCATGAATGGAATGAAATCTGATCCCGAGATACAGGAGGTCACTTCCCTGGACTAAACTGAGACCTGACTTTTCAGACTGAATGGCCCACCATCTATTTGATAAAATTTACAAAAACCAAAATAATTGATGTTTATAAAAATATTAAGAATAAAGAAATACATAGAAATCTAGCCAAAAAAAATGTACAAAAATACAAGCCCATCTGGTATAAAACTCCTCATATGTAATTGTTCCTAAATCCAAGGTGACCTCTCCTGGACGTGACTGGCTCACCAGTGGTCACAAGTGAGCTCCCAGGAGGTTCCTGTTACCTAACTGCCTATAAGAAAACAGGGATAGAGCTTAAAAAAGACAGGATAGGGACTACTAATAAAACTAATCAAGGCAAATCCTCAGTTTGTGCAACCTTGACTGGGGGATTTCACTTCTCTGAGCTTCAGTTTCCTCATCTACAAAACAGATTTGAAAACGGTGCCTACTATATAAGGTTATTGTGAGGAATCAATGAGAAGGCATGTAAAACAGCACATGAAGGCATATATTCCAGTGTTTGCAGAGCTCAAACTAATTGTGAAATAAGCCATAAAAAGTGTGGTAGACAGGCTGACAGCCCCCCCCAAAGATGCCAACATCCTAATCCCCAGAACCTGGGAATATGTGACTTTATGTGGCAAAAGAGACTCTGAAGCTATGATTAGGTTAAGGATCTTGAGATGGGGAGAGATCATTTTTTATTAATCTCCTGAGCTCAATTTAATCAAGAGTTTCTATATATGAAAGAGTAAGGCAGGAGAGCCAGAAGCAGAGAAGAAGATGTGGGACAGGAGAAGTCAGAGTGATGCCATCACTGGTGTGAAGATGGAGGAAGGGGCCAGGAGCCAAGGAATATAGGCAGCCTCCAGACGAGGGGGAAGGTAAAGAAATGGATTCTCTGCGAGCTCTACAAAGAATGTAGCCTGCCAAAAGCCTGCCAACACCCTTATGGTAGCCCACTGAAATCCACTTGTGACTTCTCATCTCCACAACTATAAATAAATAAATTTGTTTTAAGTCATTACACCTGTGGAATTTGTTACAGTAGCAATAAGAAACTAATGAGAAAAAGCCTGGATACATGCAAAACATTCATTTTTCACATTTAGTTTAAATTTCATTTTGAAGTCACCTCCAGTATTATTTACTTTTCTTCTTAATGATGTCAGATTCTAGCAGGGTCAGGGAGGATTAAGGGTGTCCACCTGAACAATTCGCATTTTTCTGTTTAGCTCCTGAACCAACAGGCTTTATCCTATTGAAAGACAGGAAATTGCAGGTTGTCTTATAAAATCTCCAGAAAATAGGCCTTTTGATAATCACACTTGTCATATTGGGAGCAGGCAACAGCAGGACAGGGACGAGCAGGAGGGCCTAGAGTCATGATAGGAAATAGCACTGCGATGTACCACTGGCAAGGACAAACGGAGGTCACATTCAGAGAGATGAGCCCAGATGAGAAGGGCCCATGAGTACGACTGCTCAAGACAAGGCAGGAAAGGGCAGGCATGAGCTAAAGGTCAAGGCAGGCTAGCTGG